GCCAGCAGGCAGGGAGAGCTACCCAGAGCCGCTGGGGTCTCTGTTGGTGAGACCACCCCAAGTTCACACAGGGCAGGGCTTTGCAGCTGGGAGGGACTGGAGGCCTGCCTGCGTTGCTGAGGAGGCGGAGCCTGAGGCCAGTGAGTGATACAACTGAGCCTGGATTGGGTGGGCTCATGTCTGGGTTCTGGAAGACCTCAGCCAGGTCATCCCTCTGCCTCAGTCTCCTAGCCTGTGAAATGGGCATAGTAATCACATCGATTTAAGATGATGTATGTCAGGCACTAACAACTCTGAGGCACTAACAACCCTAATAGCTCAGAGTTGTCTTTACTCCTCTTTCACAGCACATCCCAGAGAGCCCCAAACTGATCTGTCATCCCAGACCTGGTGTTCACCTCTGCATTGAGGGGCAAAGGGGAGGAAAACACAGCCCGATCCTGCCCATGAGCTGACTCTAAGAACAACTGATTAACTCCAGAAAACTTCCTGTCCGAATCATTCAGGAAGCCAAGGCAGGGGAAGGAGGACAGAGACAGAACCCCAAGTTGGGGAACCCTGGGGGCTGCAGGAGCAAGGAACTCGAGGCCCAGAGAGGGACCCCCATGGGCAGGCAAGGAAGCTGAGGCCCAGAGAGGGAGAGAGCCCTGCTCAACCACAGCCCAAAAGATGGTGGCAGGGCAGAAATGCAACTTGAGCTCCCCAAATCCCCCTGCCCTGCCACCCACAGCACCCAGGGCCCAAAAGCTGGACACCCGCAGGCACCAGGGACGTGAAAGACTGCCCAGGACTGACTCAGGAAGATGCCGCCTCCCCAGCCAGCCGCAACCCCATTGCAGGTAGTGGCTGCACAAGGGCTCACACCCCCTTGCCAACACACACACACACACACACACACACACACACACACACACACACACACACACACGAGGTGGCGATCATGCAGAAGACAGGAGGGGGCAAGGGCCTGATGGGCCCACAAGCCTCCCTCCACCTGGAGTCCTAACATCATGTCAGCCAGGCTCTCCTGCCACAGTCCCTTCTGAGCAGGAGTTGGGAGTCCTCCCACCACAGTGCTCCAAAGAGTTCTCAGTAGCTCTCCCACAGCTGGCTCTGAAGGCCCTCCCAAGAGTCTCTCCTGCCATCTAAGGACCCAGCGTCTCACAGAGCTGATGCAGCTGGAGGAGTCTCTTAACCCTTCTCTGTCCAGCACTTCCTTAACAGTCTTCTGCATCACAGCCTGCCTTCCTGCAGGGACAATTTAAGAAAAGAGCCTCCAGCTGGTCTATGTGCCTGGCCAAGACAGCTCACATTTATACCTGAATTGCCAAGCACCTTTGCTTGCTTACTGTCCCCCATTCTCACCTCTGGGTAATTTGCCAGGATTGCTCCTGGAGGAGGAGGCTGTATCCACCCTACCCCCACCTCTGCCGTTCTGAGCCTGCTTCAGAAAAATGGGGATGAGCCTAGCACACAACCTGGCACAGTGAACTGTCAGCAGATGTTTCCTGACCACAGTTGATTCTGGATGCAATTACTTCAGTAGGAAGATGTGCTGTGACAGGAAACCTGGAATGCAACTTGAGCTCCCCAAATGTGTGAGGCCACCTGAGACAAGTTTTTTATCTCTCTCTGAGCCTCAGTCTCCTCCTTAATAAAATTCAGGGGTTGGGCTGAGCTGTCAGGAATAGAAAACCTGGGACACACATACATTCCATCACTTACAAATTCTGTGGCAGTGGCAGACATAAACAATCGATCACAAGACTGCTGCCTACTAAATCCACCCAGATACAGCACCAGGATCTCCACTGAATGAGCTGGTTCAAGAGGTGGAACCACAATTTCTTCTGCACCCGAATTTCACTGTTCTGTGATTCCAGAACCTAGCAGAATGACCTTTAGTCTCAGTTTCCTCTCTTGTAAAAATGATCACTCTCACGAGGTTGTGAGGACTAAACAATAATGTGTTCAAAATGAGCTTTGCAAACAGTCTTGCTCCAGCAGGGTTACCTTTCTGCTACCATTTCCAGAGACGGGGCAGGGCACTCCACCCCTAGCAGACCTCAACCAATGAGGGCCAGTGTGTTCTGGTGGAAAGAGCTTGCACCTGGATGACCTCAGGCAAGTCAGTGCAGCATTCTGAGCCTGAGCTTCCCCTGGATAAAATGGGCTAATGCTTACCTTACAGGATATGCACAAGGCTTAAACGAAGGATCAGACAGGGCCAGACGAGTGACCAGCTCAGCCTGAGTCTACCCATGTTAGCCCTCAGGGCCTTGGCAGCGGGTGCCCTGACAGGTGTGAGGGGCCAGGAGCAAGGCAGGGTGTGTCTTTCTTGTTAAGTCCTCGGTGAGGCCCATGTCCCCAGGTCCACCGACAATGGTGGATCCACGCGGTCTCTGCTAGCTGTCCCTAGCAGAAGCAAGGCCCCATGAAAGGGTGGAGGCAGTGAAAGTGTAGACTCTGGGCCGTTGTGGGAATAGGCTGTGGCCTCGCACCAAAAGCCCTGGGGGGATCACTGCTCCTCCCTTAGACCTCCTCTCCCTGGGCCCTGCCAGCGGCACTGGCCCTGCCCCTGGCCTCCTGCTCCCAGCCTGCTGCCCGCGCCCCTGCCTGTGGGACCAGGCCCCAGAGGCTGCCCTCTCTGAGGCAGCTAGGTAAGACAGGAAGGCTGCTGCCACGGACCACCCAGCAGAGTTAGCTTGGGGCTGTCTCTCAAACTCTGCCACAAATCCACCCGACGCAGCACCCTTTGCACATGTGCTCTCCGCCTGCCCAAAACGCCTTCCTGTCTTGCTTCTCGGTGTACTCCTGCTCTTCCTCAGAGACCCAGCCCAAAGGCCACCTCCTCTGGGAAGCCCTCCCTCATCTTCCTTCCCAGGCAGCCAGTCTCAGGCTCCTCTGGCTACCCGCACCCCCACCGGCTTATAAAGGTGAGTGGACAGGCAGGCAGGCGGGTGGGGGGTGAGGGGCACCAACCAGCCACTCCTGGGGAAGGAGAGGACAGCTGGCCTGGGAGGGAGGCCCTGGCACATTAGGCCAGCACCAGAGCCAGTTGGGGTAGGAGCTAGGAATAACTACTCCGGGCAGCCCCTGGGCAACAAGGACACCACTTGCTTATCACAAAATATCCTTTATTGATAAAATAGCTCAGACTTTTTAAAAACACCTGCATGTCACCACAAGAGGCCACAGGCAACAGCACTGGGGGTCCCCCAGGGCACACACAAGATCAGCCAGCAGATGGTCACAAATCAGTCCCTCCCCTGGTCCCAGTCACCCCACCACGCCCAGGGTCATGCTCTAGCCTCGCAACTGCAACCAACCGAGGACCGAGCCAGACAGACCCCCCCTCCCAGGAGGGATACCTTTTGGTTTCCTCCATTCTCTCCACCCCGGAAGAGCTCCGCAACACTTTTCCAGACTTGGCCCATCCATCCAGTGCCTACACCACCCCACCCCCACAAGCTTAGATGCCCCCCGGCCCAATGTTGAAGCCAGGCACTCCCCTGGGAAAGACCAGAAAACATCCTTTCCCTACTTCCAATTGCTCCAGGTGCCAGGTTTTGGGGTAGAATTGAGAACCAAGAGCGGGAAGCCTCATTCATGTAGGGGGAGCAAAGTGGCTGGGTCCAAGGCTGTTAGCAGGCACCCACCTGGAGTGGGATTTATTATGCTCATAAGGACACATCTGGGACTGGGAGACCTATCTGGGCACTAGAGCAGGAGGCTCTATCTACTAAGGACCCATGGTGTCCTTGTGACGCACCCCACCTGGGGGCTCTGCCACCCGCCACAAGCTCACATCTTTGTTCCCATCTGTGTGTATTTGAGCTGTCTTGGGGAAACAATTTGCCTGCTGGATGACAAAAGAATATCCCCCATTGGAGGGGATGTGGAGGACCAAACCACCAAAAACTCTCTTGGTGTTACAGGTGGAATGCTGAGAAACTGTCATGCAGCACAATAACACAAATCTTTGCAGGCACAAGAACACATTCTCAAAGAAACCCTTTAACTTGAAATAGTGATTCTGTCTGCCACTCCTCGCTTCCAGTTTGGGGTAGGAATTCACACACCCCAGGCACAGAACAAAAGTCTACAGGAAGACAGGTGGTGGTAAACACAGAGAAAAGGGATTTTTATATCACTGGATAATCACATTTTCTGTTTCTCCAGCGCGTTCCCCCACGGAGCTTAAAGCTTTCTGCAAAGCCTTTCATCCCCCTGCGGCTAGTAGGCGGTGAGCTATTGTCAGTCGCCCCGGTTTTTTCAGGGGGCGAATGCCAGTGATCGGGGGATCTCCCGTTGAGGCAGAGGCTAGGCCTTCAGACCGCCCCATCGAGGCATCCACATGCCCACCGGCCTCCCAGAGAATTGCCGGATGAGGAAACCAATCTATGGTTCTGGCCTTTAAAGGAGCCACAGATCCAAATATGGGGGAAAGAAGGCCCAGAGACAGCGCCACCCTGTAGACCTCCCATCCCAGCGTCTGATGGGGACCCCAAGTGCCGGACATGGGTCAACAGCGGCAGGCCCTCCTGGAAGAGTGGAAGGTTGGCTTCCTGCCCTTTGTGGGTGGTAGAGGGAGATGAAAAAGAAAAACACCACAAGCAGTGACCTGCCAGGGAACCTGCTGGGGTCCTCAAGAAAGGGAAAAGGGAAGCCCCCTCATCGGCTTGTAGGGCTCTGGGGCTCTAGGAGGGAGGTGCTCTGTCCTAGCCTGGCCTTGGCTATGTTCAGGAAGGTCCAAGCCTCAACCCTCCGCCTCAGGCAGGAGAAGAGGTCTCCACAGCTGAGCTAGCAAGGTGAGGATGCCCTTGGACCCTGGTGAAGAACATCTCTGCCCCGCCTCTCCCAGGGGGCTCCTAAGACAAGGCCTGCAGGATCTGGGTAGGGACCAGAAAGCCCTAGGGAGGCAGCCACACAAAGCAGGGCCAGAAGCATGGCAGCCCTGGTGCCACCTGACACCAACCCCACACAGGTAGTGGCAGGCAGGCTCACCAGGCCGTCTGGGTCCACTGGCGGCAAAGGATCCTTCGGAAGGCACGGCGAAAGTCCTGGTTGAAGATGGTGTAGATGACGGGGTTGAGCGAGCTGTTGCAGTAGCCAATCCAGAAGAAGAACTGGAAGAGGCCATGGGGCACCTTGCAGTGCTTCGGGCAGATGGCACCCAGGCTGTAGGTGAAGAAGAAGGGGAACCAGCAGAGAACAAAGACGCCGATGACCACTGCCAGCACGAAGGTGAACCGCTTCTCCCGGGTCAGCTGTGCCCGTCGACACCACCGCTGCCAACCCACAGCCCCCACGCCCCTGTTCAGGAGCACCTGGCCACGTAGGGTGGCCAGCACCCGGGAGCCCTGTGGCTGCTGCAGGGGTGGGCTGCAAGCTGAGGCCGGGGACACTGGCACTGCCTGAGGCTCACACTCTTCCTCCTCCTCCTCCCCCTCCTCCTCTTCAGCTCCCTCTTCTGGAGACGCCCCAAGAACACCTTCCTTCCGGCCCTGGCCTGAGTTGGAAAGGGAGGCCCAGCTGGGTGGCAGGGCCGGGGTCCCAGCATCTTCAGGGGTCTCTCCCTCCTTCTCCCCCGTGGGCTTGGAGTGTCCCTTGGCCTCTCCGGCAGGAGCCAGAGGAGAGGCCCGAGTGGGCAGCCTGGCTGAGGCCAAAGCCCTCCCCCGGCCGAGGGGGGGCTGCTTGGACTCACCCTCCCCAGGGCCCCCCCTGGCCCTGGGGCCCCTGCGGTGGCTGCGCCTGGCGATCAGGTAGATGCGCAGATAGACGAGGATCATGATGAGGCAGGGAGCAAAGAAAGACCCGATGCTGGAGGCCAGGATGTACCAGGCCTCCTGGTTGAGCTTGCACTGGGGGCGCCCCCGGGGCTGGGGGCCCGGGTCGCCCTTGTAGATGAGGGGCGGCAGCGAGATGGCAGCGGCGATGAGCCACACGGTGAGGATGACGCACTTGATGCGGCGCGGAGTGCGCTTGGAGTTGTACTCCAGGGCGCGGCTCACGGCCCAGTAGCGGTCCAGGCTGATGGCGCACAGGTGCACGATGGACGAGGTGCAGAACAGCACGTCGAGCGCCAGGTACACCTCGCACCACGTGCGCCGGAAGTACCAGTAGCCCAGCAGCTCGTTGGCCAGCGAGAAAGGGATGATCAGCGTGGCCACCAGGATGTCGGCGGCGGCCAGCGACACCAGGAACAGGTTTTGCGGGGCGCGCAGCGAGCGGCTGGTCAGCACCGCCAGAATGACCAGCGCGTTGCCGAAGACGGTGAAGAGGATGAGGAAGGTGATGGCCGCCGCGATGGCCGCCGTGGCCTG